AAAAGACTGCTCATGTTTAATTGGAAGACGTTTCCATAGTTTGTTGTCTAGCCCACAGGGAGCCTCAACTTCCTCCAAATTACGAGAGAAGCTTGGTGTTGCTGGCTTTTTGTTTTTTGCAAATTGAATTTATTCTTCTGTTCTCTTATTTCTTCCCTCTTTTTGAGTTATATTTGGTCAAATTTCAAATCCTATTCATCTCAGAGGAAGAATTAAACATGCCCTAAACCATTTAAAACTTAAATCGGTAGATTCTGAAATGTATTCCCTGTGGCTGGTTTGTGTCCACTTGTCATGCTGGCAAAGCAAAGTTGCCAGAATTTACCATTTAAAAAAAAGTAAACTCAAACATACACATTCTTCCCATGTGCACACTAAGTCTCGTCCAAGAATTAAATATTTATACCCATGTATGGTGAGCCAGAACTTCTGTAGGGGAATGATGGAAAAAAGGGAGAGTAGGGGTAGCTAAAAGTCTCCTTTGGTGATGTATCTCTGGCCACAGCCAATATGTGAACATTTATGAAACAGATGCAAATAGAATTAAGTGACCAGAGCTCACAAGGGAGGAGACAAGAATTGCTGAGATGAGAGAACAGCAACAGCAAAGGAATCAATTAGTCTCTGCTATTTCCTGAACCACTTTAGTTGACTAAATTAACATAATATGTGGGGATAAAGGAAAAGACAACGGAGAAGGAATCTCACAGCACCATTACTATTAACTGATATTTTTGTGCATTTCAGTTCAGTATTCCATCAGTGCATCCAAGGAAGTGGATTGAAATCCATGCTGAACATATTTAATACATATGAGAGAATTAGACTCACATGAAGGAACATCAACATTTTAATATATGCCGATAACATCATGGTACTAAGGGCGCTTCCAAACAGTGCCAGATCATGAGATTTCTGAAGCCAGTTCCACACAGCTGAATAAAATCCCACATTTTCAGCTTTGAACTGGCATATATGGCAGTGTGCAGTCAGATAACCCAGTTCAAAACAGATATTGTGGGTTATTCTGCCTTGATATTCTGGGTTATATGGCTGTGTGAAGGGCCCTGGGAGAAACATGGGGAGGGAAGGAAGGATTTTATTGTATGAATCTACTATTCCGCCATATTGAAAGTGGATACATACAAGGTTGAGCACCTTTGATATCACACCTCCCTTCGGTAGTGCGATTGTGCTGATTCACCAATTCATGGTCCTACAATCACACTTTCACACATCCTCATACCTCCATCTACCGGCTCTACTGCTGCTCCTTATTTTTATATACTAATTTTTATTTTTATGCAGCATTGGGGGAAAAAAGCAAAAGAGAGAGAGAGAGAACACAAAACAAGAACAAGCCTTGGGATAGTGAGAGGGAGGGAGAAGGAGAATCCCGCTGCCTGATCTTACTTTACAGGAGTGGTTCTCAACCTTCCGAGTGCCGCAACCCCTTAATACAGTTCCTCATGTTGTGGTGACCCCCAACCATAAAATTATTTTCGTTGCTACTTCATAACTGTAATTTTACTAGTTATGAATCGTCATGTAAATATCTGATATGCAGGATATTTTTTTTATTTATTAGACCAAATTTGGCACAAATACCCGAATATTTGAATACTGGTGGGGTTGGGGGAGGGGATTGATTTTGTTATTTGTAAGTTTTAGTTGCTGGGATTTATAGGTCACTTACAATCAAAGTGCATTCTAAACTCTACCAATGATAGAATTGAGGCAAACTTCCCACAAAGAACCCCAATGACCAACAGAAAATACAGTGTTTTCTGGTGGTCTTTGACAACCCCTCTGACACCCCCTCACAACCCCCAAGTTGAGAAATGCTGATTTACAACATACTGATACAGAAATGGAAGAGACCATTGCAGCAATGTGACGGAAGCAACTGGTGAGTTTGAGAGAATCAAGAAGGAGGCAGATCAACCCTGGGATGCATTGTGGGTAAAAAGGTTTCCCCTGACATTAAGTCCAGTCGTGTCCGAGAGGTCATGAGTTCAAAGCCAGCCCAGGTTGGAGTAAGCTCTTGACCATTAATAGTCTAGCTTGCTGTTGACCTATGTAGCCTGAATGACAGTTGCATCTGTCACTTTAGCTAACTAATTTAACTAATTTACAATGCCATAAAACCTTCCAGCAGTGTGCGTAAGAATGAGGAAATAGTCCATCAAAGAACCCAGTGTCACAACCGGCAGCTCCCCCTGTGGCTGGAACCAAGCATATTCTCACGAAGCCGGAAAACCTGGAATGTTAAATGGCCTCTATGTCTGTCTATATATGTTGAATGTCTAAATGGCATTGAATGTTTGCCATGTATCTGTGCATTGTAATCTGCCCTGAGTCCCCTGCGGGGTGAGAAGGGCGGAATACAAATACTACAAATAAACAAATAAATAAATAAATAAAATTAGTCTCCCCGCATAAGGTAAAGTTTTCCCCTGACATTAAGTTCAGTCATGTCCGACTCTGGGGTGTGGTGCTCCTCTCCATTTCTAAACCGAAGAGCCGGCATTGTCCGTAGACACCTCCAAGGTCATGTGGTTGGCATGATTGGAATGCTGTTACCTTCCCACATATGCGGTACCTATTCATCTACTCACATTCACATTTTCCAACTGCTAGGTTGCCAGAAGTTGGGGCTAATAGAGGGAGCTCATGCCACTCCCCGGATCTGAACCTGCAACTTTTCAGTTAGCAAATTCAGCAGCTCAGCGGTTTAACCCACTGTGCCACAGGTGGTTCCCCTCCCCTAAATTTCCTACTTGACAGATGCAACTGTCTTCCGGGCTGCATAGGTCAATAGCAGACTGCATTTCTAGGTGCAAAGATGACTGCAGACACAGACTGCAGCCAGGAAATCAGGAGACACTTACTTCTTGGGAGGAAAGCAATGACCAATCTTGATAAAATAGTGAAGAGTAGAGACATCACACTGGCAACGAAGATCCGATTAGTCAAAGCAATGGTATTCCCCGTAGTCACCTACGGATGTGAGAGCTGCATCAAAGGGAAGGCTGAGCGAAGGAAGATTGATGAGTTTGAACTGTGGTGCTGGAGGAAAATTCTGAGAGTGCCTTGGACCGCCAGAAGATCCAACCAGTCCATACTTCAGGAAATACAGCCCAACTACTCATTGGAGGGAAGGATAGTAGAGGCCAAGATGAAGTACTTTGGCCACATCATGAGAAGACAGGAAAGCTTAGAGAAGACAATGATGCTGGGGGAAATGGAGGGAAAAGGGACCAACCAAGGGCAAGATGGATGGCCAACAGGGAGCTCTGGCGTGGGCTGGTCCATGAGGTCATGAAGAGTCAGAAGCGACTGAACAAATAAACAACTATTGTTTTTACCAGAGGGTACTGTGAATTTATGATGTTATGTTGATTGTTTATTGTCTACTTGTATGTTTTGTTTTGCACTTGTTGTATTTTGCATTTCACACTTTGAGTGTTTTGTAAGCCGCCCTGGGAGATGGTGGCGGGAAAGATGATGACGATGATGATGTATGTACAAAATTTGGGGTTGGGGGGGAAGATAGACACTTTTGAACTGTGGTGCTGGAGGAAAATTCTGAGTGCTTGGACCGTGAGAAGATCCAACCAGTCCATACTTCAGGAAATAAAGCCCGACTGCTCACTGGAGGGAAGGATAGTAGAGGCCAAGATGAAGGACTTTGGCCACACCATGAGAAGACAGGAAAGCTTGGAGAAGACAATGATGCTGGGGGAAATGGAAGGAAACAGGAAGAGAGGCTGACCAAGAGTAAGATGGATGGATGGTATCCTTGAAGTGACTGGCTTGACTTTGAAGGAGCTGAAGGAGCTGGGGGTGGTGGCGGCCAAAAGGTAGCTCTGGTGTGGGTTGGTCCATGGGGTCACGAAGAGTTGGAAGCGACTGAACAAATAAACAACAAAATTGTGTTTATATCTGGGTGATAGTATGATAGCTGGGTCCGGAAGCTCCAAGCGTTACGCATATTCTGCAATGGCGGTTGTGAATAAGGGAAAGGGAGAGCGCCATACTGAGGGCAGGAATATACTTCGTAGTTTGGTAGAAGGATATAAAGAAGGGGAGTGTTAGGATAAAGTTTCGGACAGTGGTCCTCAACCTTGGGTCCCCAGATGTTTTGGTCTTCAACTTCCAGAAACCCCAACAGCTGGTAAACTGGTTGGGGTTTCTGGGAGTTGTAGGCCAAAAACATCCGGGGACCCCAGGTTGAGAACCACTGGTTTAGGATAAGGTTTAGGGTTTGGGGTAGGATTAGGGTTAGGATTAGAGTTAGAATTAGGCTTCGGGGTTAGATTTAGGTTTAGGGTTAGGGTTTTACCATTAAAGAATTCTTATAATTCTATAATATCTGTGTTCCGTTCTGTGTTGCGCAAACAGCACTCCTGAAGGGGCAAAGCGGAAAGAGCGTAAGGCTCAGAGCTTCCAAACCCAGCTTTCATACTATTACCTATATTTTATACCCCAGTGCTGGGGGTGGTGACGGCCGACAGGGAGCTCTGGCGTGGCTGGTCCATGAGTTCACGAAGAGGCGGAAGTGACTGAATGAAGAACAACAGGTCAACAGCAAGCTAGACTATGGATGGTCGGGAGCACACTCCGACCCCGGCTGGCTTCCAACTCGGTCAGTAGTGACTTAATGCCTCTGGCTACTAACTAGCTGCGCCACAGCTCCCACGATTCCACAGCAGGCAGCCATGGCAGTGTGGAAGCGCATGAATGTGGCAGCGCAGAGGCTTTGCAACCCCGGGGAAAGGATGCTCAGAGTGTGCCGGCCTTGCACCCATTGCGGCTTCTTTATAGGAGCCGAGGCAGTGCGGGTGTAAGGGAAGGGCGAGGGGTGGGGGGCGCAAGACTGGGATCGAGGCTGGGTCTGGGCGGCCTGTAGGAGGAGGCAAGGCGCTTCTGCCTGCCTGCCTGCCTGCTTGCCTGCCTGCGCGGCGGTGGGAGGGGGGCGCGGGGCTCGAGGGGCGGGGAAAGCGCGGGCCAAAAGCGAGGCGAGCGGGGCGGGCGAGCTCTGTAAGACCCGGGAAGGAGAAGCAGCAGCCGCCGCCGCCGCAGCCAGCCTACCCGCCCGCCCTCCGTCTCGTTGCAAGGCGCTGCCGCCTCTGCTCCTCCTCCTCCTCCTTCTTCTTCTCCTTCTCCTCCTCCTCGGAGCCCACCAGGCCGAAGCCCCTCTCCGCCCGCAGCCATGGGAGTCGAAGGCTGTACCAAGTGCATCAAATACCTCCTCTTCGTCTTCAATTTCGTCTTCTGGGTGAGTCGCCTCTCCTTCCTCTCGCTTGGAGATGGATGCCGATCACAAGAAGCAGCAGCAGCAGCATTGTGATTGCCTGCCTCGTCTCCCTCCCTCTCTCCCCCCTTTCCAGGCCAAAACAAAGCGGTAGATTTCGGGGTCTTTTCCTCCACATCAAGGGAAGGAGAAAGGGGGAGGATCGCCTGCTTGCCTTCCCCCCTTTTCCACCCGAAGGAGGCTGGGGATCCATGCTCAAAGCAGCAGCCAGCCTTGCTTGCGTTGGGGGAAATGCGACTTGTTGGGCTCGGGGAGTTGTGCCTAGGGAGTGCATCTGCACTGTAGAATTAATGCAGTTTGGTCCACTTTTAACTGCCCCAGCACAATACTATGGGTTACTGTGGTTCCCAGTTTGAGGGGGCACCAGCCCTCTTGGGCAGAGGAAGCCAAAGGCCTTGCGAAACTGCATCTGCATTGTAGAATTAATGCAGTTTGATCCCACTTTTTCCTGCCCCGGCTCAATACTATTGGGTACTGTGGTTCCCAGTTTGAGGAGGCACCAGCCCTCTTGGCAGAGGAAGCGAAAGGCCTTGTGACACTACATCTACAATGTAGAATTAATGCAGTTGGATCCCACTTTTAACTGCCCTGGCTCAATGCTAATGGGATTCTGGGTGTTGTAGTTTGGGGAGCCACCAACACTCTTTGGCAGAAAAGGCTAAACGTCTTGTGAAACTGCAGCTCCCATGATTCCATAGCATTGAGCCATGGCAGTTGAAGTGGTGTCAAACTGCCTTGATTCTCCAGTGTAGATGCACCCTGGGTCTCTGTGAGCCCATTCTATAAAAACAGCAACCTCAAGAAACAGGGAGGAGCCTGGGTTTAACTGCAAGGTAGACCCTCTTCTCTCCCCTCCCTCCAGATCATAATAACATTTTTAAAGCAGTGTTTCTCAACCTTCCTAATGCCACGACCCCTTAACCCAGTTCCTCATGTTGTGGCAACCCTCCAACCAGAAAATCATTTTTGTTGCTGCTTCGTAACTGTATTTTTGCTACTGTTGTTAACTGTAATGTAAATATCTGATATGAGGGATGTATTTCCATTCACTGGACTAAATTTGGCACAAATACCCAATAAGCCCAAATTTGAATACTGGTGGGGTTGGGAGGGGGGATTGATTTTGTCATTTGGGAGTTGAAGTTGCTGGGATTTATAGTTCATGTACAATCAAACAGCATTCTGAACTCCACCAACAATGGCATTGAACCAAAAATGTATACAACCTTAACAGAAGGAACAATTTCCATATAGGTTGAGCATCCCTTGTCTGGAATTCCAAAATCTTCCAAAACTGTCTACATGAGAGAGCAGCACCTTGGCTTTCTGATGTCTCAATACACACACGTTTTGTTTCATGCTTCAGGCTATGTCTGTAAGGTGTATGTGAAACATACACTAATTTTGTGTTTGGACTTGGATCCCATCTCCAAAGTATCTCATGGAGTACGTATATGCAAGTAAAGAAACTCCGAAATCCATGGAAATGTGAAAGCCAAAATAATTTGTTGACGGGTATGTTCAATAAGAAATACAACCTGTAGAGAAGTGTCACAAGAGAAAGTATACATAAAGCAGGCAGTTCTTTGCTCTGCAGGGACCGCAATCTCAGCACCTTAAATAAAATCAGAATTTAAGATGAGGTTTGTAACTAATTGAATCATTATTACAGTATTTATTCTTCAATGTAAATGTATTCACAGATAACCATCAATAGCTACAAATAACTGGGTTGTTGTGAGTTTTCCAGGCTGAATGGCCATGTTCCAGAAGCATTCTCTCCTGACGTTTCACCTGCATCTATGGCAGGCATCCTTGGAGGTTGTGAGACCTCACAACCCCTGAGGATGGCTGCCATAGATGTAGGGGAAACATCAGGGGAGAATGCTTCTGGAACATGGCCATTCAGCCAGGAAAACTCACAACAACCCAGTGATTCCTGCCATGAAATCCTTTGACGACACACTACAAATAACTGTTTATGAGTGAATACATTTTTGGGACACGATTTCTTCCTCCAAACAATCATTTAATTTTAAAATGGGAAGAAGAGAAGGAAAAATACAAAGAGAAAGTTTTGCTTGAGTCTGAATCTGTTCTGTTTCCACTTTCAAGTTAAGGGAAAGGATTGTAGCCGTGGAAACAAAAGTTTCTTTTGCTTCTTAACACAGAAGTTTAACTGATCTTAGATGGAGATACATGCTGTGATAAAGGAACATATTTAAATGTTCAAAATTATGCACTAGAGGGAGATTTTATTTTTCTGTCTGGTAAACAACTTTTTTTAAGAGTCGTGTTTGGTATGTTGGGTTTTTTTGATTTGGATGGAAATTTTGGTATTTTTCAAAGTTGTTCAGGATTTTTAAAAAATAAATAAATAAGCAAATCGATGAAAAATTAATCTTGAACTGTATATTTTTTTCCTGTTAATGAATGCTGAAGAGTTCTGTGGTTCATAGCCCGAGAACAGAGACAGCTTTGGGGGGGGGGGGGGGGGGGGGGGGGGGGGAGGGTGTTTGTGGGTGTGGAAGAAGCAACTAAAAATATTTGTGAGAAGTAAGGATGTTTTAAAATGGATGACTCTCACAGTGCCTTTTCAGGCAGCTTCTCATGATCTCATCTTTCCTTCTTGCTTGGAGATTTTTGCACCAGCCACGCCCCGGGTCTCAGAAGAACTTCAGCTTGAGTTCCTGTGGCTTTGAGCTGAAAAGGAATTTGGATCTTGCAAAATAATATCTGGGAAACCTTGGAAGCCAAGTTGTGCAAATTTGAGGATTCCTGTTATAACAAAACAAAGGAAAGGGTATTGTTGCAGAATATGTAGCCTTTGGGCCAACGCATTTCTGTCAATGGAAACTGGCTTTCCTTGGGTTATTTCTCTGGGTTCTGACTCCTAGCTGTAAATATTTCTGTTCGGATAGTGTTTTGCTTTTTTAACATATACACCATTGGAGTCACCTGGCTTCAAGATGTTGGAGAACATTTTTCCATCGTTAGCTTGAAGGGAGGTTTCCAGACCCAGCTTCTATTTTCATCATTTTATACCCTTATAGCAGGCACGGGCAAACTTGCCCCCCCCCCAGGTGTTTTGGACTTCAATTCCCACAATTCCTATCAGCTGGTAGGCTGTTAGGAATTGTGGGAGTTGAAGTTCAAAACACTTGGAGAGCCCAAGTTTGCCCATGCCTGTCCTATAGCAAGGCTACTAAACATAACTCACAACCGAACAGTTATGATAGCTTCTGTTTATGCTTGAATGGCATAATGGTATACCAAATTGTAAACAGATCTGGTTTGTGGTTGGGAATCTGCTCTGTGCTCATATAAGGCCACTCTGTCCCATTTTAGCTCCTCTCTTGTGAGGAGGGATTTGAATTTAAAGAACACAGTGTTTTGTGCTTGTTCTCTCATCCATGCTGTTTGCCTAAGCATTTGCGTTGCAATCCTAACTCAAAGTTTCATCAACTACAGAGGATTAATATTCGGTACAAGCCTCTTGTACCAGCAGAAATGCCATGCTGCTATCATGGCATTTTCTGCAGTTCATTCCCAAGATTTGCCATCTTCTGGCATAGTTTTGTGCTTGCTAAGAGCTTGCAGGGGAAAAATGATCAAGGAAGGGACCAACTTAAGTCATATCAATATGTCCTCCAGCCTATAAGTCACATCAGTACATCCTCCAGTCTATATTTTATTTATTTATTTATTTACCTTATTTCTACCCCGCCTTTCCCAACCCCAGACGGCTGGCCCCCTACCTGTCCAGGGACGACCTAGCTACAGTGATCCAGGCTACGGTCATCTCAAGTCTGGACTACTGTAACGCCCTCTACATTGGCCTTCCTCTGTCGGTGATCCGGAAGCTCAAGCTGGTAGAAAACGCAGCTGCTCGGCTTCTTGCGGGATCTCCGATGAGATGCCACATAACACCAATCTTACTGCAGCTGCATTGGTTACCAATTGAGCACCGGATCACTTTCAAAGTGATGGTACTCACCTTTAAGGCCTTGCATGGTCTGGGGCCGATGTACCTGAGGGACCGCCTCACCCCCTACCAACCCCAGAGATCCCTCCGTTCTGAGGACCAAGATCTTTTGGAAATTCCCAGTGTCAAGACCTTGTGTCTCTCAGCAACCAGACGCAGAGCCTTCACAGCAGTGGCACCATCACTCTGGAATACTCTGCCACCTGAAGTCCGTGCCTTGCGGGATTTATCAGCTTTCCACAGGGTATGTAAGACATATCTGTTTCGACGGGCCTTTGATCTCTGATTGTTTTTAAATTGTTTTAAATTGTGTTCTATTTTAGCCTGTTCTTGTAAGCCGCTCCGAGCCCCAGGGGAGTGGCGGCATATAAGTTCAAATAATAAATAAATAAATAAAATAAACCCCGAAGAGGACTCAAGGTGGCTTACTTATAGGCAATCATTCAATGCCTTGGAGTAGTGGTTCTCAACCTGTGGTTCCCCAGGTGTTTTGGCCCACAATTTCCAGAAATTCCAGTCGTTTACCAGCTGTTAGGATTTCTGGGAGTCAAAGGCCCAAAAATCTGGGGACCCACAGGTTGAGATCCACTGCCTTACAGCAACATACAATTCCAATAATATTAAAAGTAAATTAAAAATTAATACATATTAAACAGTTAAAGATACTGGTATTTAAGGAAAGTAATCATCATAAATCACCCTCTCACACTAAGATGTTTGTAATCAGAAAAGACATACATTAGCTTAAAAAAAGTAATGCCGAAGAAAAATCAAGAATGAACATATATATTGCAGACATGATGTTAGACCAGAGTGAGGGAAAACCTAAGAAATTTTCAAAATCTTTAGACTAGGGTTTGAATTCTGCATGGTTTCAGCTGGTCTAGTTTCAGCTCAGTTAGCCTTGTCCGTTTAGAACTGTGCTCTCAGACTTCAGTACTGTGCCCACTTTACGTGGTCTTAAGGAGCTCAATGGGAT